TAATATAGATAAATTTATATATCTATTTTTACATATAGATACAGGAAGCGTTTATAACCATACTTTGCTCCATCCTAAACTTCCACCAGAATTGCCTTCCACTTGAATATAGTGTCACACGAACAAGTTGATTTTACATGTGGCACAATAGATAGGGTGGAAACCTCTGGTGGAGAGAAGAGTTTAAATGCACCCTTGCGGCTGCCAGCTAAAGCAAAGCAAAGCTTCCGCCAGCCTCCTGCAGCTGATGGGCTTTCGGAGGTGTCCATCCTTCCCCCTGAAGCTCTTTGCCCCCCTCAGCACCATATGATGCTGAATTATAGTACCCTCTGAAGTGAGATTTGTATGCTGCAGCGAAAACAAGAATTGGCAGGGCAGTTACTGTTTCAGACACTCGCTGTTCCTCCTGCCCCACTACCAGCTGGCTAGAGGTGCTGGTGCCACAGCAAGCCCCTGCTCTGGATGCCCTTCAGCTGCACCAAGGGCAGCCCAGCCACACCTGGGGTTCACTAAAGAAGTGAAATTGGAAGAATTGTAAAGCCCCACATTCTCAATAGGGTTGTGGGGCACCCCTGACCCTGTTACTACCTTTGGTATATCTCTGCTAACCTGTTGTGAGCTGATGCGTGAACCTGCAGCTACCTTCTTCATGGGCCATGATCTTAAGAGCTCATGAAGAGGAGCAGGGGCTGCCTTACACACTGTGACCCAACCTTTGACAGCTTACAGCCCAGACCCTGGGATCACGACACCTCCCAGACGTGTCATGTCAATACAGCTGCAGCAAGAACCAGCTGGCTCTGGGTCAGGAGACATTCGGCTTCATGAGTAGCATGCAGTGATGGCAGCATGGTGCTACTCTGCCCCTGGGCAGGGGCTGCAGCCAGGCAGAGGTGGCCCCAGCTTGCTCTGAGCCTGCAGACACTCCTCTAGGCCACTTCTGCTGGGGTAATTCATAAATAGTGATGGTGTCATTCAGGTCATGTGGAAAGTTTAGATTTGGAAAGTTGAGATAACACTTGCTGAATATTGGGATGTACTTGTATTTGGTTAGAGACCTGGAGGATGTTTGTCATTGAGTAACACAGCAGAAAGGAATGCAGGAAAAACACTCTTTTACAAGTTCAGGACGTGGTCTGCAGCCTGTTACAAACTGAGAAAATGGTTTAAGGGAACTGCCCCATTGGGCTCCTGCAGGAAGGCCCAGAACAATGGCCAATACAGGAAGGATGTCGCAGGTGGATACGGCACATGTGTGCCAAGGTGCAGAGGCAAAAGAGAAGTCACCATGGCTCCAGCAGGCACCAGATGTTTTATGACTTTTCAGTATGTTTTGAAAAGCATCCCATGGATGAACGCAGAGCTGAGGAAGAAGACTAATGTCAGGCTGTGTTAATACTTGGAGTTTTACACAGGTGGTGTTTTGTAGCCTCTTCATTTCAAAGGTGGGAACTGAAAGAGGCTGAAGTGAAAAGTGGAGTAGGGATTAGCTCTGCTTTAGGGAGACCAGGATTGAAGGTTGAGGGCAAGGCTGAAGCAAAAGCTGATGCAAGTGGTTATGGAGTTGGGATTTTGAGAGAAGAGGATATTTCTCAGGAGCACTGAGCTGATGGGCTTTGCAGGCGCAGCAACTGTAGGGCAGCAGTGGTGGTGGGGGCAAGGCAAATCTGTACCCTGTGATGGGAGTGTTGCAGCAGTTGGGCCTTGGGAGACAAGTGCCCATCCTCTAAGCTCACTCCAGGAGCGTACCCCCAACCCAACCGAGCTGCTGAAAGCCTCCATGTATTCCTGCCAGAGCACCACTCAATGCAGAAAACAGCTTGGGCTGTTTTTGAAGCATTCATCAGAGAAGCAAGATTGTGTAGCAGAAGAGGTAAGTCACAGGCAAGAGGGAAACCAAAAGAACTTTTCAGGCATGTAAGGCTTATGGGAAGTCAGCCTTGTGACTGGGCAAGGACACTTTTATCACTCATACAGTGTCACAGTTCTGCTAGTGGTAAAACTCATTTTGTGGGCAGCATAGTACTGGTGACTTACTTGGTTTCATTCTCCACAGCTGATATTTAGTTATCCTATTTCACAAGTATCAAAAATACTTTGAAGGCAGAAAAGTAAATAAAATCTTAACACAAAGTGTAGGCACGAGCAATGCTTAATATCACTGGCTTTTGCCACCACTATTACGTATCATGTTTCGGAGACTAGTTCCTGAGGTAATTAGTATGGGAGCCTGGAGCAGATGGCCTAACTGGCCTTTGCCAATGGGTTATGAGCTTGATGAAATCGCGAATACGTAGTAACGTAGCAAGCATGTTGCCCTTCTGAGGGCTGAAAAGATCTTGGCTAAATCCCAGCAAGACATGAAGAAAAAACCAGGAGCAGTTGTCAACACGGTAAAAATTGAGACCTTCCTCCTGTTACTTAAAACATTTTCTCTGATATAGGCCAACAGTGACTTGGAAATAATACATGCATCTTTGCTAAGGGTTCTGAATTTTTCCCATGTTATTTCTGTCTGGTTTAAATTGGCTGAATAGCTCTGGGCTCATTCTGCTGTTACTTTGGTGTTTGCCAGCTTTTAGATTCACTGCATATGCCCTTGTGTTCATATTTGTATTTGTGATTCTCCTGAAGTTTTACAGGACACAGCATATCTCCAAGGATTGTTATTCATTATTTAAAACCCACTGAACTGGAATCCAAATTTCATCCATTCACTGCTGGCCATTATTTTTTTTCCATTCATAAACTTTCATCAAGTAACGCCAGGCGGCATTCAGGCAGTACAGCAGCCAAGAGGTGAAGTAAGCCATTCACAAACACGTTGCAGGCTGATAGTCACCCGCAGACACTGTTTGGTGAATCATACTGAGCAGTGAATACATCCTGAACATCAGGATCCGTTCACATGCTGAAGAAGTGTTGCAATTTTACTCATCTGATCTGCGTATTGCTCTGTGGAGGCTTTCATCCCAGCTTGTTTCTTTTACAGTAATTCAGGGACATATTATGAAAACTGGAATTCTGCTAAATTCAGGCAAACTTCTTGCTGAGTATGACATTTAGGATCTTAATTCTGCAAGAAGATATGTCAAACATATGCCTACATAGCAACACACGAAAATGTGAATTTACTTCGGGTTGCAAGAAGAAGCCTACACGATTATACAGGGCTGTGCTCTGACAGTGAAGGAGCATGCACACTGCAGCTGTAAGTGGAAGGGAGACTACAGGTCCACAGGGTTTTCCTGTCACCTCTGTAGCCTTATAAGCCCATTTGGGGGAAGTGAAGAGTTAACAGCTAAAGACAAAAGATGTTGCCTATGGGTGAATCTTACCATGGTGATTACAATGTGGCTTTTGCCTGCATAATGGCAAGTGCTGGGGGGGGGTGGTGGTGGTGAGGAAAGAGAGAGGAACCTCTTCACTGTAAATATTTCTTGTTGAAAATATCCTGGAAGAAATAAATCCAGGTGTCTCAGTTTAACCGTGTTGTATTGCTTAGATGGCAGTGACACCCTGTGGTACCAACCGCTGGTGCAGCTCTCGGTGGTGGTTTGTTCAGGAAGTCGTCTAAGATTGCAATAACAAAAGGTCCAGCGATGTTTTTAATTCATCTTCACAGACCACATCCTCCTTCCTCCCTGAGTGCCTTTGCACTAAGCAGGATGTACCTTTCTGGATTTAAATGTCCTGGAAGTAGCTACTGCTTCTTTCTGAGCATTTGTGTAGTGCCTGCATGGCTTTACAGTAAGAGGAATCGGCTGTAGTAACAAACTGTTATCACATCATGGTGCACCCTTGCTATACGACTCAGCAAAAATACTTGCTGCTGTTCTGTTTGCCCAGATGAGCAATGAATGCTGGTGATTGGAGAAGACAGTGCTTATCTGGGTGTTTTCTCTCTTCCAGGGGGTTCATGAGTCAAAAGGTGTGACTGAAGATTACTTGAAACTGGAATCCTTAATCCAGAAAGTTGTTTCTCCTTACTTGGGCACATATGGCCTGTATTCCAGTGATGGACCCTTCACACACTCTTCCTGTATCTTGGGTAAGAATAACAGAGGATTGATTTGACACAGCACAGGGGACTTCACCAAAACCTTGGTCCACACAGGGCCAGGGCCCATACAAGTGGAGACTGCCAGTAATAACTCAGTATGGTCGGGCTCCTTTTCTAAGGTCGTGCTCCTCGCAATGTGCAAAATCACAGTGGAACTTCCCAGTGGCAGAAGATGAAAACGGATCATCATAACAGTGCTCATAAATAAATCTGTGAATCTGGAGTGTGTTTAGTATTTCCATTCTTCCTTTTAGTGAGAGAGCTTTAACAGAGGATGCCTTATGGACAGTGACAGGAAGAAGCAAGAAGCCTCTTCTAGAGCGCTGAGTATTGCTTGTTCGTTAGTGCACTGTCCTGGGTTCAGCTACAGCAGTCATTTTTTCTCCTTCTTAGTAGCTGGTGCAGTGCTGGGTTTTTGACTTTCAGTCTGGGAACAATGCTGATAACACCGATGTTTTTAGTTGTTGCTCAGTAATGTTTACTCTGACCAAGGACTTTCTCAGTCTCATGCTTTGCCAGAGAGGAGGGGAAGCCAGGAGGAAGCAGAGGCAGGACACCTGACCCAAACTGGCCAAAGGGGGATTCCATACCACAGCACGTCATGCCCAGTATAGAAACTGGGGGGAGTTACCCGGAAGGCCCAGATCGCTGCTCGGGTCGGGCTGGGTATCGGTCGGCGGGTGGTGAGCGGTTGTGCCCTTTTCCCTTGTTATTCCTCTTATCATTATTATTGGTAGCAGTAGTGGTTTGTATTATACCTTAGTTACTGGAGAGCTGTTATCTCAACTCGTGGGAGTTACATTCCTCCAATTCTCCTCCCCATCCCTCCGGGAGCGGGGGGAGGAAGGAAAAGGGGGGGAGTGAGCGAGCGGCTGCGTGGTTCCAAGTTGCCGGCTGGGCTTGAACCACGACAGTGCACAAAGATCATACAAGGCTGTTTAAAACAGAAAAGTGAGTAGGAATTTGTCGTAGAGAAGACTAACAGATAAGCTTTCAAACATGTGAAAGCTTTCTCCAAAGCAGAAGGTAATAAGCTGTTCTTCATCCCACTGGAGACAAGAAAAATAAAGTGGACCACACATAGCAGGGAAAATTCAGATTACATGGAAGGAAAAATCTCTAATGTCACATAAACCATCTCTGGAGGCTGTTAAATCTTCACTGCTAGAGGCACTGTATACATGTCACATACACAGGCATCTGTAAGGAGCAAGGTGGGTAAACGTGGTTCTGCCTGGTGGCAGAAACTGAGTGATGATCTTCAGTCCCTTCCCACTTATTTTCTGTGATTCTTTGAGCTTTGAAGCATTCAGTGAAGGCAAGATTTGGCCAAGATGAAGGTTTTTTTGAATATCCCATGTAGTAATTCAATCTGTTGAAAATGCAAGGGGGATGCTACCAGCGTAAATCAAAAAGGAAATGTGATAGTCCCTGAGTAATTTAATGTAAATACTATTATATCCTGCTTGAATAGAGAAAACAGAGGGGAAAATAAGTTCAATTGTGTGTTTTCTGTGCAGTCAATTTAATCTGTTTGCTTGTCAGAAATGGTCAATAAGGTAGTTGATTTTCCCTTGAAGCTGAATGGAAAAATGGTTGTATTGCATTAGGTGTTAAAGAAACAAATCAGTTTTACATGAGTAAATGGAGGCAAATTATTTATGGAAAACAGCTCAGGATTGCTACTTCATATTCATTGCTTGCCATTAAAAGGCCACAAGCGTTTAAATGGAGCCCCAAATTGACATTTTCTGAATACAAGCTTTTGTATGTCAGGACAGAAAAAATGCACCCAAAAAGAATAAAACCCCAGTGAAATGGATTGTTAGAAAACATATATGGTGTTACATGACTGCAGAGTCTGCTGCTTTCAAACTAGCACATGTAGTTCTGTCCAACTATTTTGGTAGCACGATTTAAAGCTGTGACATATCATCTTTGGGACTGATGAGGTTGCTGACCTCTTTTCTTCCCTGTCTGGCCAGCACTCCCAGCCTTCCCTTACAGTCAAGCCTTGGTGTGACCAAAAAGCCAGAGTTCCTCTGGCAGGACAGCCCCAGGGAACCTTTTCTGTTTGCCAGGTCAAACTCCTAACAAAGAAAAAGTCCAAAAGTGACCATGGCTCAGTTGATTTCACTACTGAGGCAGACACAACTGCAAAATACAATCTTAAATACAGAATCCGGCTTTTTTAGTAGTACAGCATATGATTGGAATTTGTGTCCAGGTAAGCACATAAATATACATAATTTTAGAGGAGGCTGGCATTTGTAAAGAAAATTATGGTTTTCATCCTGACTTAAAGCAGGCAGTTTATATGTAGTGTCTGTTGTTGACTTCCAGAGTGTAATCTGGTTCCATTCTCCAGCCGTGCCCCTTCCATGGGGATGGCAAAGTGCGAATAGCAGGAAGAAAGCTTCAAAAATGAGACCTATTATTCACACCACTTTTTTGTTTAGTACAAGTGAGTCTGCAGTAAGTTTGCATGATGGTCATTTTGATCTAGCTGCTGGAGAGCACTCCAGCCCTAAACCACCGGTGGAGGATCTCCGTGCTGACTTGCTGCCACCTGCTGCTCATTCTTTGGAAAGAGCCCATTTGGTTAACCGCAGTAGTCATACAGTCTGCCGCACCGAGTGCAGGTTTGCTCCCAAAAAAAGTTGCTGTGGGCACTGACCTCCAGTTAAGGTTTCCAAACACTCGTGGTGCTCTCTCCTTGTATGGTCTCAGAATGATGCTTTGAATCAAAGTTTTTCCAGAATTACTATTAAAAATGCCTTTATTAATCCTTGTGCCCCAGCTTTGAAGACACCTGATTTTCCTAGGGTGGTAGAAAAGTTAAAATTGCAGCTACTAGAAATTAGTGATGACCTTTTCAGCCTGAACAAGAACAGAATTGCACTTTCTGTTCTTGCCTAAAGAAAGTATTTGCAATTGTATATCAGGTCTCCCACAATATTTAATTACTTACTCCAGCTGCCAAAGTTGTATGAATATAAGGAAGTATCAGCTATTATTTGTAAAGACAGGTTTGGGGCCTTCAATATGCTAAAGAAGTCTAGGAAATTGGAAGCCTGGTGATCTACTAAACCAGTGAAATGTATTCTCTTGTAAAGGTTTCTGTCATATGGGAAAAGCTTGGGAGTATGACTTTTCTTTTGAACACTTGTAATTATTAGTATCACAAAACCAGGAGACTTTATAGATCTTACTCTGGATCTTTCTTTGTTCACAGAGAAGCGGTTCTTCAGGCGTTCAAAATCAGGTGACATCCTTGCCAAGAACCCTGTGGTGCGATCGAAAAGCTACAACAATCCACTGCTGACGCCAGTGGCCGAGTATGAAACCGAGGGCATGGCTGCCAATGGAACAGGCATCCGAAGGCACTCAGTTTCAGAAATGACCTCCTGCCTGGAGCTACAGGGGTACTCCAACCTCACCACCATCATGGACAACGGTTCCAAGAGCTCCATGACAGCCACAAAAAGCTCACTGTCAGGAGAGCAGGAGAGGCCCAGCACTGGGTCAGTGCAATGCTCTAGCAATCTCAGCACAGTTGAGCAACAGAAAGGACTCTTTCACTCAATGGACGACCCACATAGGTCTTTTGAGCTGGACAGGGACCCTTCCTTGATTCCAGTTCCCTCTTCCAGCCCTGAGAACATAGTGGATCAGATTTTGGAGTCAATCGACTCTGATTCTGAAGGCATTTTTATTGATTTTGGCCGAGGCTGTTCCAATTCATCAGCATACAATGTGGACGTGAACAGACAGAGCATCATGTGAAGGACATTGAGAGACAAACCTTGGGTTTTAATATTATATATGAAAGTTACTAACACATTGAGTTGGACTATGGGCAAGCTATGTATGTCTAGGGCAGAACCTCTGTTGTAGGTCATCACATCTGTACTGAAGTACACAGACACAAGTTTACAGCAGGCAGGAATCTGCCACAAGGGGGAAGAAACTCCAGCCATTTCTCCCTGTCCCTGTCTCTTTGCAGTTGGATTTCCTGTTGTCTTTATAAGCATAGGGGTTCAGAAGCTGACAAGTGTCTGGTGAAACGCTATTAGTACATCTGGCAGTGTTTGTTCAGTAAAACAGCCTAGCAAATAGCTGTGTTCACTTTTAATTTTCTCAAGAGATTTCCTGTAGACAGCAGGTTGTTCTCTGAACTTTAACACCTCAGCGAAAGTAAAAACATACCCTTCTAAAAAAAAAAAAAAGCCCAGAGGCTGTGGGCCTTCATGCCACAGACTCCAGTGATAAAGAAGCCTATTTTAATCTTTTTCTTGTACATCTTGTATGCACTCCTTTGCCTAATGGTGAGTTAGAGTTCTTGAAGAAAGGCAAATAAACAGAAATGTGCTACCTGGTGTCACGCGATGCCTCATGTCTCATGTTCTGTTTCACAGCCAATACCTTGTGTCTGTGAGAGAGTTGTCTTGAAACTGGCTTTTAAGACCATGTTAATTTGCTCTGAACGTGGCACTTTGAAGAAATCTGTGCACTGTTAACTCCTGGAACACTCGTTGTGTGGAGAGATTCCAGCAGGATTCAACTTGTTTCCTAAATAAATAAAAATATGACCTCTTGGTGGAAATTCTCATTATATATTTATATTCTTAAAGAAATACAGTAATACATATACTGTCAATTATGTATTGCTATTTGGGGAGTGTGAAACTTGGAGCTCTTCCCATCCTGAGCACTCCCAGCTCTTTGGTTCTTCCTCACAGAAACATGCTGTTGTAAAAGCTGTCTCAGTGGTTTTACAGAGGACTGATGTACATGATACTAAGGTGAAGTAGAAATCCTGATGCATGATAGATTTTTGATCAGATGGTTTTCCAGTGAATGAAGAGCTACTTCAGATCACTCCATCCTAGGCGTCTTCTCTGGAGGAGAGAGTCAGCTGGTAACACCTGAGCTGCTCAGCAGAGACTCATCATCAGTTTGGTCTGGCAGCACCTGGCAGTTAGCTCAGATGCTCAAGGACTCTCCAGCTTTACTCCGCACTTACATTGCTGACCCCAACATTCACTAAACCTTTCCCCAGGCTTTGATTACATTTCTAGGCTCAGGGCCCCACTTCTGATATTTCATTTTCTTTGGCCTCACTACTTGATTGTTCAGAAAGTGTTAGCTCTATCTTTTGCAACCAGCCTACTTCACTTCTGCAGATTTCAGCTTCCAGAGAGATGTGCAGGCTCCCCATAACACAGAGGTTTGAGAACCTCAGAAGCCAGCTGAGGAAGGAGCCCCATAAATGAGGCACGAGGTTGGTGTCTGTTTCTTTGTGTTTGGCATGTTCAGTTGGACAGCCTCCCCTACAGGTAGACACATAAGTTAGGTCATATTTCATAGTTTCTTTTACACAGAGATGAATAATTGCTTCCATGCCCCAACAGTCTTAAGCCTAACAGCCAGGGAACACACTTGGATAAGACCATTGGATGTGGGACTTAACACCAACTGGCAGAAACACAGGTGCAGCAGAACATGCCCTTAGCAAGAGCAGCTTGGATGCCTGCATGGATCTTTGAGGTTAAATAAATCAAATGGGTTAGCGTGTAGGCACCTAACTAGCCCTTGAAGTGTGTAATTATCAGGTCACCTATTTGGCCACTTCCTGGCTATGGTGATGCCTGTACCATCCAACAGTTGTGCACTCAGGAGTACTTCTGATGGGGCCAAATATGTTGGGAGCTTGCTCACATCTGACGTTTATTGGGTTCCTAACAACTTTTTGGTGCTACCAATGGGTGTTTGCCCATCCTTTCCTAGCTGGAGGGCATGATGAGCCCACATTCTTAAGACATACTTGATCTGGTGCCACATTTGGCCCCAAAACCACATGAGAGAAAGGAGGTCTCACTGGAAGTGGATCCAGCGTACAACAGGAATGATGATTTCCAAGGGTGTCCTAAAGTGGTACAAGCCCCCATGCTGGCACCCTCAGGTTCCACCCTTGTTCCTTCAGACAAATGCTTTTATTTACTGAATTATTTAGATTGGAGAAAGAGTATCCACTGTCTTGTTCTAAGGACACAGTGCAGGGGAGGAGATTCAAACCCCTCCAAGAAAATTTTACAAATATAATGGATCAGGGCCTCTTGTTAGGGAACATAAAATGAGGTAAGAGTCATAAGCTTACTCAATTATTGAGGAATATTTCAACACAGTTTCAACTGGGAAGAGGACTGCTAGGACCCTTTCCAGCTGAGCTTTTGCATGGTTAGTGGCCTCCCCTATGATAGAAGACCTTGAATCCCCTGGTATGCTGCAGTGAACTAACCTCTCACACTTTGCATACATGGAGCTAGTGAATGAAAATCCTCATCTAGCTGCTTTAGAAGGTTATTTAAAAATTGAGTTCAAGACAGTGACTGCATAAGAGTATTCTTAACTGCCACCTCAGGAAACCTCAGAGAGGAGCAGTGTTTAGGAAACTGTCTTGTCTTCAGCATTTCCTCTTGGCGAGGGCAGGCAGCCTGGTGCCTGTTGTGAAAGCTGGTTCTTGGACACATTGCCTTCTCACTCAGGGGTAGAAGGCTGTGGTGCAGGGGTAACCGGCTATGCTGGAGCACTGCAGCCCAGCACTTCCAATCTAGCCTTCCACTTTAAGTGGGCTCTTTAGGGTCAAAGCTCAAGCAGCAGAAAAATCTTCCGTAAGCTTTCAGCAGCAGCACGTAAACCCTTCAGAAGATACAGACCAAGGCCCAGCACTACATTGGAGAAGGGCAGAACAGAAAAGAAAAAAGAAAAGAAAAGAAAAGAAAAGAAAAGAAAAGAAAAGAAGAGAAAAGAAAAGAAAAGAAAAGAAAGGAAAAAAAAAAGAAAAGAAAGGAAAAAAAAGAAAAGAGAGGAAAAAAGAAAAGAAAAGAAAGGAAAAAAGAAAAGAAAAGAAAGGAAAAAAGAAAAGAGAAAAGAAAACCCAGCCCAGCTAGCCCTGCCTCACCTAACACCCAGAACTGTGACTACCAGCTGTGATAGGGTTGAATGAGTATTTAAGGAAGTTAGGATTCATTACTTGATGCTGAGGTGTTCTGTGAGGGCTGCTGAGCTGAAGTAAAAAGGCTTATATTTAATTTTTGGGATGAAGAGGTTCTCAATTGACTTTGGTTAAAGTAAGTTAACCTGATAAGGGCATAGTGGAACAGGCTAAGCCCTGTTCTTGTGGTTTAGAGCTGAACTAAACTTGTCTTTGCTAGCAAATGTGGTATTCACAGAAGTGTTTTGTCCACTATGCTAAAGCTGTACTACTGGGATAATGACTAAAGAAGGAGCAAATGCATTCTAACTTAGGGGTTGCAGCTGCAGTTTCAGGAGTCTTTTTTAATTAAAGAAAACATTATAATCTCAGTGGGCTTTCTATGGAGAGCCTAAAACTGAAGTCAAGAGTTCTTTACTGCAATGGTGATAGGGTGGCATTTTGTCTCTCCTTCAAATTTATGTTAAAATATGTAGGCAGATACAATTGTAAATTGAAAAACTGGGTGTGATGGTCTAGCTGATTCCTGTGGAAGCCACCATCTCCATTGTCCTCAGAGATGATGTTTCTCATCAACTTGTTCCCCAAGAAGTGGCATGACTGAGGGCAATACATTCTCTGTGGGAAGATGTAAGTGGAGCTGTGCTTTATCTCTGGGCTTTGAGGTACATCTGGTTTGCAGTTGCAAGAGCCCATGTGTGTGAATGTGCAAGGTGTGGAGAGGTGTAGTCAGATGTGGCCCTGGCTCAACACCATGCGAGTGGTGTTGAGCCAGGAGCGTGCAGGCAATCAAAGCCCAGTATTCAGTGACTTTAAATGCTGCACAGGTGTGAGACTGCCCTGATTTGTGATTCATCTACTAGTAATGCCAATGCAGACAGGTCATGGATGTGGTCTTCTTAGAGGCAAATCATAGAGTTGTTACAAAGGAAATACGTGGATCAAAAAATAGTACAGGTTCTTGCCAAAATGCATTTATGAAGTGATGGCTTTCAGCTTTCAAATGGTGCTACATGAAGTGTCCCAATGCACCAGCGGTACTCAAGCTTTGTCCCTAAGGGGGCATTCTCTGTATGCCAGTTATTCCCCTTCACCCTTTCTTTGTTATGATAAACTGTGACATTTTGTATTCTAATCCAAAAATCAAAAGCTCTCTGCAATTTTCCTGGTTGCGATGGGTTCCAAAATCCTACAAGGGATAATACAGAGCAACAGATAGCACTTAAAGCTCCTGTCATCTGGCACTGCAGGGTGAGCATTATGCAAGCAAAAGGAACTGGGAGACTAACCTAATGAACAGCTGCTGAGTTCTGTGTAATACAGCTCCCTGGAGCACAACTGGAGATAACGGAATAATTGGCTGCAAATATTGCTGCCCAAATACAGGGCTTTTTTTCCTAAGAAATGGGGAAAATGGCTTTCTATTATTCAGTTACCTCCTGGCAAGCTGGTTTTGGTAGTGCTTTTGACTAAAACAAATGCACTTGTTGACACCATCTGAACCACTAAGCTGTTGTGATGGAAGGCTATGGGCTGTGTTCTCCTAGGGCCACCATATAGATATGTGAGAATATGAAAATATCTGATAGCTCTCTAAAGTTCTGGTTAGAGATATATAGATTACCCCTTTATTAGGCTAACATGCTGTAAGAACATCTTGGAAATAAAGATGTCAGAAAGGTCTCCGTGTTATTTTTGAGCTCTGGTCTGCAGAGGTGTGACTGTCATTCCAGAACTTTTCTCAAAGTACCAAAATTTGGAGGTGGGGAGCAGAAACCAGATATCAGTTGAGCTGGCACTGCTGCAAATAACATATGCAGCCATCTTAATAACACAGAAATCCTTGCTCTCCAGGAGAGTAAAATGCTTGGTTTACAATTGGAGTCATTTTTTGCACTTTTCCAACAAGGAAAATACGCTTCTAAAATGGGAACAAATATATTTTGCCTTG